TGTTCATTTAGAATTATTATATTTTTAATATTATTTTATATTTATGCACATTTACTCATACTACTACCTTTTCTACTTGTGAACAATTAAAAATATTTTTTTAATCGTTGTTTATATTATTACCGTCATTTGAATTTTACCGCCGAAAGATGCATATTTTACTGTATTAAATATGGCTGCCGAGTCTTCAAATCGTAACACACATTTTGTACAGCATACGCCATCCAGTGTAATATAGAGATCAGTGGCTCAAGCCGCTCGAGGTCTAGCCCGGCCTAGTCTATCATACATGGCTGCGGGCGGCGCGTTGGAGAGGCAAGAGGGGAAACGCGCCGTGGCTCGGCGCCCGGCTCACGTCCAGTGCTGCCAGAAACGAGCGGCAGCATCACACAAATAGCGTTTTCGATTATACAGGATTTGAACGACCCACGGTTGGTTAATGACGTCATTGCAACCTCTCCACCAATGAAAGACTTGCATTTATAGTAAAATAGTGATTGATCAACCCTGGGTCGTTCAAATCCTGTATAATCGAAAACGCTAAAATACAACCGAGAACCGATGACATCACCCTATCCGTGTGAGCTCGACCCGGTCGACCAATGGAAGAGAACGCACGTCTCCCTTCCACCGAGCCGACGAAACAGACGATAAATGCTAAGAAGTAAGTGTTTCTAAGGTAAGTGGCTGGAATATGAAAAATCCCGTGTTCGAGATTTGCTTCTCGTAACTTTCTTTTCTTTTTTCCGCATTTGTTTCTAACAGTGTAAATTATCAAATAATCTTTTTTTTGCTTAAAAAATAATAGTTTATATTTATTAATAATATTCGCATATGTTAAAATTAACAATTTTTGAAATAATTCAGATTTGCTATTGTCAATAGAAAAATGAAGTTATTTTGCAATATTGTAACAAAGTGTAAATTTAACATATGCTATGTTCTTGCCACTCGGCTTATACGTTTAGCCATGTTTGCTTTGACATTTATGTCTATCGACTCGAAAGATTTTATATA